AGGGGTGGGAAGGATAGAGAAGTACAGCAAGAGTTAAACGAAGGTAATGTAGAAAAAACGAGGAGAAAGGGTGCGAGAGGAAGAAGCCAAAGATGAGAGGGGAAAAACAAGGGGATGACGGAGAATGAGCGGGAATCTGAAAGGAACCAGCAGGGGTTGAAATACAGAGCAGAATGGCAGAAAAGAGAGAAATTCTCCTCCGTAAAGCTGCGCAGTTCCCATTATTCGTATTGTAATATTACGGGTGTTCGTTTGTCGTGCTGAAAGGAAACGAGGAGAAAAAAGGTTGCTAGGAGAAAAAAGGTGCAGGCCTCTCTTATTGGCTATGAGAAGTAGCTCCATTATCCAATCAGAGGGCTCTGGTATCAGCGAGAGAGAGCGGGCCACACTAGAAGACCTGATTAATATGTTAGCCATGTTTTATGGGTTATAATAAGTCGGGGAGTAAAATGTATTTATAAAACAATGGCAAGGATAGAGTCCATGTTGCTATTTATGTCTTATTATTATTATTACTGTATTTTCCTTTGGATTTCATTGTCATTTAGGTATACAAGGTGTGTACTAGGTGTTAGCAACAGGGCTAAAAGCATGTTTCTTTACTACATTGTATATTAAGTCACAAATCTAGGTGTAAGGGCTATTGTAGTTGTGTCTAGAGCACTGGAATGTCTTGTCTTATAGTTGTAACCATATGATTAAGCAGCAGCGTGTTGTTAGAATGTCCAGCAGGACTGATGTTGTGTGCTAAATGTTTTTGTGGAAAAAGTATTTGTTAGATTCATAAGCTGACTGATACCTCAGGATTGGACTTCATGGTGTATGCATATGCATTGCTTTACACTGTATAAGTGGACAAAAGTGAAAATGTGTTTTAAGATGTTTGCATAAACATTGAAGTGGCAAATGCTTAACTACTACTGGGAAAATCGTTTTATTGTCATCTTTTAAGAACTTTGTGTTTCTTTTTATGACATATCGTATAAAGAGTACATACACAATTAACAGAAATATGTCATTTTGAAATTATTTGTAATCATTTTCAGTATTTTAAGCTTTCTGCTTTATGCATTACATATTACTGTCGTCTCACTCCAATCCATCCAATTGCATCCAGTATTATTGTACACAAGTAAATGTGTTCATGTGTGCCATCAGTGTAAATATGAGAAGTGACCAACTCATATGCCTGCTGTTAAACAAGTTTCCACTGTATTCGCTCCCCAGTTTGAGCCTGAAACTGAAGACATTAAAGACATTTGTTGCCAACAAAATGGAAAGAACACATATACACTCACATATTTGGAGGGTATTAAGCTGCAAACACCCTCGTTCCCTGTCCTCATGTTTTGGCACATAATGTAAGACACAAGACACAGGACAGAGGCATTTTTCTCTAATCTTCAGTCTTCAACACCCAGGGTCTTCAACCTTTTTCTGGCCAAGGACCCCTTGGTGGATATGAGAGATGAAGCAGAGACCCCCTGTTACACATTGTATAATGGCCTATAAAAGCATGTATACTAAATTAATGTATTGTAAATCTTCATTATAATAATAAAAAATGTTTCTTGAGCCGAATATTAGAATGATTTCTCAAAGATCATGTTACACTGAAGACTGGAGTAATGGCTGTTGAAAATGCAGCTTTGACATTACAGGAATAAATGACATGTTGAAAAAATATAAAACAGAGTTATTTTGAATTTGAATAATAATTCATTTATATTTATTTGATCACAATACAGTAAATCTAATCAAAATGTTTAATCTAATCAAATAATATTTCATAATATTAATGTTTTTATTGATTTCTGATCAAATAAATACAGCCTTTGTGAGCGAAAAAGACTTCTTTAGAAAAAAAAATCTTACCGACCTCAAAGTGTGAGACAATGAAGCATTAAACTAAAATTTAGCTTCTTAACTCTGTCTTTGGTTTAAAGTTAACTTCAATATGTATTTAGCGCATATTTTTATTTTCACCAAAAGTTTGAGGTGAAACAACAGTTTCATCAACAGTAGGCGAAGCCCATTGTTTATTTTTATTTTTTAAAAACTGAATAAAATGATTTTATCCAATAAATACAGTATATACAACTTTTAAACCAGATTTTAGATTTTTCTCTAATAAAATCATAGTTCATTTTTGGTTCATATTCATACATTTAATGACTTTGAATCCTATTTATTGAATTACATTCTCTCTGCACTTTTGCTGTTTTGCATTATATTCTCAAAGCAATTAATACACAGTTATTTTACAGTCTTCGGTTCATAATCGGCAGCTTCATACCAGGTATCTACAGGACCACTGGACAAGACTGTCCTGTAGAGTGTTCTGATACAGTACTTCACATCTAGTGTTTTGGTCTGTGACATCTAGTCCGATGGAGGTCATTTTATAATTTTAGATGTATTGTAATGATACACATATGGGACATTTGTTCATCAAAGCTATAAATAAAGACATTTCAGTACATGTGCCTGCAGTAATATTTTTCTGAAAATTTCTCAAAACTGCATTGCACGAGTTAGTGTTAGGAAAGAAATCCTATTCTATACTTTCTTTCTCAGTCTTTTGTTCCATTCTCCATAGATATGTGTTTCCGCTCGATGTGTCGGTAGTTGTTTGAAGTGGAGGTTCAGCAGCGGGAAGCTTTGAGTGCAGGTGTCTGAGTGGGATTTGCAGGGCAACAAGGCGCGCACACACTCACACACACACAGCTGTCTTTGTTGTGGCCACCACCTGGTTAGTGTATTGGTTTACGTCCCGCCACTGCTTTCCATCATTCATTCATTCATTCAGTCGGGTCAGTCAGTCAGTCGGTCAGTTAGTAAGTCAGTCAGTCATTCAGTCCTCTTTTTTTTGTTTTGTTTTGAATTTCTGTTTTTGACCAAGAAAGTGTGGATGTGTACTATCCGTGTCCACAGGCCACTGTCTGTTTGCTACCAGTCAGAACCGCGTTTAAACCCAAAAAAAGATAGGAATGGAGAGACACAGGGACAAACAACCTATGCTGTGTCTCTCACACAAACACATATACAGATACAGGGACAATAACAGCACTGTGTACGGGGAAAGAAGATCCGGCAGGTCGAGATACCACATGAGAGCAGTGCCTCTGTCTGTCTGCATCTGCTCTGCTCTGCCTGCTGTTTGATGTGCAGGGATTAGGGGAAATCTGAGAGCTCCCAATTTAGCCCAGCCACAGAGATACTCAATATGCAAGAGCACATATACACTCACACATTGCGCACACATTGAATGTCTTTATGTCAACTGGCTGAATGCACTATTTGTTAATAGATGTATTTCAAATACGTAGTGTGTTGTATAGAATAAATGCATTTAGTTGTTTTTACATTGGGTTTATAACCAAACTCAGGCATACGTGCTATGATTGTCTGCTGCGACCTAGTGGACAAGAAATGTATTGCTGTCCGTTTCTGCAGGATGATCATGGTGTCAAGATTTCCTAATCACACTTATATCAGAATGTGAAATGATGTGGAAAATACTGGACACGGGGACACCTTTTGCTTTTAAACATTATGAATGTTTTTATAAAAGTGGACTGTATGAATTGAACCATGTAGCAGATAGCATACAAGTATTGTGTGTACAAATATTTATCACAGTCATTGTGATTACCAAGTTACAATTAGAAATTGATCAAAAAATTAAAAAAATTTGCTACCACTCAGAACCGCGTTTAAACCCCAAAAAAAATAGGGATGGAGAGACACAGGGACAAACAACCTATGCTGTGTCTCTCACACAAACACACATACAGATACAGGGACAATAACAGCACTGTGTACGGGGAAAGAAGATCCAGCAGGTCGAGATACCACATGAGAGCAGTGCCTCTGTCTGTCTGCATCTGCTCTGCTCTGCCTGCTGTTTGATGTGCAGGGATTAGGGGAAATCTGAGAGCTCCCAATTTAGCCCAGCCACAGAGATACTCAATATGCAAGAGCACATATACACTCACACATTGCGCACACATTGAATGTCTTTATGTCAACTGGCTGAATGCACTATTTGTTAATAGATGTATTTCAAATACGTAGTGTGTTGTATAGAATAAATGCATTTAGTTGTTTTTACATTGGGTTTATAACCAAACTCAGGCATACCTGCTATGATTGTCTGCTGCGACCTAGTGGACAAGAAATGTATTGCTGTCCGTTTCTGCAGGATGATCATGGTGTCAAGATTTCCTAATCACACTTATATCAGAATGTGAAATGATGTGGAAAATACTGGACACGGGGACACCTTTTGCTTTTAAACATTATGAATGTTTTTATAAAAGTGGACTGTATGAATTGAACCATGTAGCAGATAGCATACAAGTATTGTGTGTACAAATATTTATCACAGTCATTGTGATTACCAAGTTACAATTAGAAATTGATCAAAAAATTAAAAAAAAACGTATAATGAAACATATGTAGAACTGTTATATAAAATTTAAAAATTAAAAGCAATAATGCACAAGAGAAGCAGCTCTTTGAAAAGTTACTTCACAAAGAGGTAGAAAATTAGTACAATATGACGTTGTATAGTGATTATTTTTTGTTATTTAACTATCAACATTAATTATTCTTATTATGGCACATCTGTTTTTTTTTTTCAATGTAACATTCAATGGAATGAACTTGTTTTCTCATTTAAGGAAGTAGGCCTGAAAATCCTAATGGAAAATATTAACCATATTAACCTTGATCACATTCACATCTAGTGGTATGTTCACATTTGTTTTTAGAGTAAAAGAAACAAGCCTTGTATAACTGATACTATACTGAGCAAATAACATAAATTGCAAACATTGCAAACGTTTCATGTTGTGATATAAACATGCAGCCCACAATGTAAAAGATAAAAACAGAAGAAAAGAAAATCATTGAATATGTAGAGAAATCATATGTATCAAAATGAGATGTGCTTTCAACACTATCACATTGCTCGTTGTAAAGAGGTCATATCATAATTTTTTTAAGTATTTTTCCCCTGCGGTTCACCATAATGTTTAGCACCAAAACCCATAATTTAGTGTTACATTACGATTTCCATCCTCTTTCTGACCCACAGAATTCAAAAAGCTCTTTTTCTTCCCATAAATAAAAGCCGCTTTGCAAAGCCTACATTGCATTCTGACAGGTCTACAGGAACAACACAATGTTAAAATTAACATTAAAAACTGAAAATTAACTGTAACTATAAAGTATATGTCGTTCTTTTAAAAAAAACAATAGGAGGTTGATATGTGGAGGATCTCTTTGGGCTGATTTCATAGATATATTGTTCTGTTAGTCTCTTGCTTTTAATAGCAGCAGGCAACTGGTGTAGTAACCATTTTGAAGAGCTACTTGTCATTTGTTATTTTGTTGGAGTGATCCAAAGAGCTTCATGCACTAGAGTTGAAGACTCCGTGGAATCCATAAGGAATGTTGACAGGTACTTCGGCTCTTCCCAGCTCTTCAAATGTTTTGGCATCTAGGACTAAAAGAAATGTACTCTTATCCTACAGAGAGAAGAGAAAAAAGGGGTTTAAGACTGAAGACACATTGATAAATGTTATACAATTGAATTCTTTTCCCATGTTTCATTTTCTTATAAAGCAAGTAAATTATAGAGCTTATGTTTACATACATTACATTCATTCAGGGCTGTTTTGTACCTTAACTGGTGTGATAATCACAGACAGGATGACTCCATCGTCCTCTTTCTCAGCATTGGGTGAAGGAATGAAGACAGGCTCTGATGGATAGAGATCAGGCTGGCGCCATACCTGTAAATCAATTTATTAGCAAACATTCTGCAATTTGATCATAGTAACTGTGAATACCTAGGTATCAACCATGATCCCATTAATTGTTCTCACCTTGAACTTTTTGCTTTCCAGATCCATCTTAATTAGGGAGTCACCCACTAGGTGTCGGAAGCCACAACCATAGTAGTATCTATAAGGTTTGGTGTTATATCTGGCATAGTTAATATGTGGAAACTCCAAGCCACCGTAGTCTTTCAGGTCTTCGCCATGGAGATCCTCAAACGTGCAAAATACCTGAGAGAGAGACATGTTCTAAAAGAGATGAAGGCTCTCCAACACATAAATGCACTTTTTGTGTTGTGTATTAATTTAGTAACATTACTGTTAAAAAAATCTGGGGTTGGTAAGATTTTTTGTTTTTGAAATATGTCTCATATGCTCATCAAGGCTGCATTTATTTGATCAAAAATACAGTAAAACATTACTATTGTGAAATATCATTACAATTTAAAATACCTGTTTTCTATTTTAATACATGGTAAGATTCTGTTTATTCCTGTGATTTTCAGCAGCCATTACTCCGGTCTTCAATGTCACATGATCCTTCAGAAATCAAATTAATGCATCCTTCCAGAATAAAAGTTTTAATTTCTTTAAAAAAAAAATCTTACTGTCCCCACACTGTAGTATATGTGCTTTGAAGGAAAACCAATGTTTAGAATGAGCAACTTTCAGAGATGCACATACACACATAGTGTTGTAGCAAGCATAAAGACAGCACCTGGTTATTGGTACGGCAGACAGCGGTAGCGGTGCTGTCAGGCCGTGTGTTGAGGTTCTGTTCCAGTGGGGTTTCACTGCTGATGTTGAGAGGCAGCACAAAACGACGGGGCAGTGGCCTGCTCATGGTGTTATACATCTGAGAGAAAGAGAGAGGGACAGGAAAAATAAGAATTTGAAAATTACAGTATGTAAAATTATGTAAATCTGTGATTGTTGTTGTTATCATTATTAATACTATTATTAAGACAAATAGAGTTTAAAGGGTTAGTTCTGTCATTGATTACTCACCCTCATGTCGTTCCAAACCCGTAAAACCTTCGTTGATCTTCAGAACACAAATTAAGATATTTCTGATGAAATCCAAGATCTCACCCTCAACAGACAGCAACACAACTGACACGTTTAAATCCCAGAAAGGTAGTAAGGACATCGTTAAAATAGTCCATGTGGCATCAGTGGTTCAACCTGAATTAAATGAAGCTACAAGAATACTTTTTGTGTGCAAAAGAAAACAAAAATAACGACTTTATTCAACAATTTATGTCAGTCTTCGACGTGCATTCACGAAAGTACCACGCATGTGTGTACTTGCATGTACTGCACCTTGTTTACAAGCAGAGGAATGCAGACACATACGTCATGGTTCATAACATTACGGTTGAACCACTGATGTCACATGGACTATTTTTTAACAATGTCCTTACTACCTTTCTGGGCCTTGAACGCGTCATACTCCGGTCTTCAATGTCACATGATCCTTCAGAAATCAAATTAATGCATCCTTCCAGAATAAAAGTTTTAATTTCTTTAAAAAAAAAATCTTACTGTCCCCACACTGTAGTATATGTGCTTTGAAGGAAAACCAATGTTTAGAATGAGCAACTTTCAGAGATGCACATACACACATAGTGTTGTAGCAAGCATAAAGACAGCACCTGGTTATTGGTACGGCAGACAGCGGTAGCGGTGCTGTCAGGCCGTGTGTTGAGGTTCTGTTCCAGTGGGGTTTCACTGCTGATGTTGAGAGGCAGCACAAAACGACGGGGCAGTGGCCTGCTCATGGTGTTATACATCTGAGAGAAAGAGAGAGGGACAGGAAAAATAAGAATTTGAAAATTACAGTATGTAAAATTATGTAAATCTGTGATTGTTGTTGTTATCATTATTAATACTATTATTAAGACAAATAGAGTTTAAAGGGTTAGTTCTGTCATTGATTACTCACCCTCATGTCGTTCCAAACCCGTAAAACCTTCGTTGATCTTCAGAACACAAATTAAGATATTTCTGATGAAATCCAAGATCTCACCCTCAACAGACAGCAACACAACTGACACGTTTAAATCCCAGAAAGGTAGTAAGGACATCGTTAAAATAGTCCATGTGGCATCAGTGGTTCAACCTGAATTAAATGAAGCTACAAGAATACTTTTTGTGTGCAAAAGAAAACAAAAATAACGACTTTATTCAACAATTTATGTCAGTCTTCGACGTGCATTCACGAAAGTACCACGCATGTGTGTACTTGCATGTACTGCACCTTGTTTACAAGCAGAGGAATGCAGACACATACGTCATGGTTCATAACATTACGGTTGAACCACTGATGTCACATGGACTATTTTTTAACAATGTCCTTACTACCTTTCTGGGCCTTGAACGCGTCAGTTGCGTTGCTGTCTATGCAGGATCAGAAAGCTCTTTGATTTCATCAAATATATCTTCATTTGTGTTTCGAAGATGAACAAAGGTCTTACGGGTTTGGAACGACATGAGGGTGAGTAATTAATGACAGAAATTTCATTTTTGGGTGAACTATCCCTTTAAGGAAGAACATTACCTCATCCAAAGCCTCTCCTGACTGACGCAGGTTCTGGACGAGGAAGTTGTTTATGGCCTGTCCGTCATCAGAGCAGCACATGTCTAGCATGAGGAATCCATCCTGCTCAAAAGCATTGATCTGATGGAAGGTGGACAAGGCCTTGGCATGGTACTTCACTGGCATCTCCTACAGAGAGATGCACAGTAGTTGGTTAAGATGCTAAAATAGTCTCAAAAATAATCTGATATTGTCTTTATGTTCTCAATCAGCTTTCATTGCACCATATGAAGCATAATCAGCAAACGAACATATGAATAAACTCATATGCTTCAAGCATCTGCTCCTCATTGTTCTCAGTGCCTCTGTGAGACTATTGTCAAGATTGTTGTCTCACCTTTCCAGTTTGTTTGTCAATAAGGTGGAATGTGGTTTCCTGGTTGGGGTCCCAGTAAACACCCTCATTTAGCGATTTCCCCCTTAGTCTACCAGTCACTATCTTAAACAGATCCATCTTAATGGGCTGCTCGATGAACACTACATAGTTCTTTGACATGCCTGAAAGGTTCAGGAAAATAAAATGAGGGCTTTTCAGTGCCGCACATTGATATGATCGCTCTATTCAGACTATACGATTACACCATTCAGAGTGCCTTGCAATAAAATTACACATGACTCTATTACAATAGCTGTGTAATAAAATCACAAATGATAGTCATTCTTCATGAGAATGCAGAATGAAAATCGGTCTGTCTAGGAGATATGATGATAATAAACACGACAGATTCTCGTCTTCGCTCACCAAAGCTGTGGTAATAGGAGGGTTTGGATTTGTCACGAGGGGCGATAGAGCATAATATCTTGGCTCCCTCTAGGTTATCTTCTGGGCCGTCTCTTTCTGGTGGCACCCTGATGATGTTATAGAAAGCCCCTATAAAACACACCACAGCACAACATCAAGCCTCCTAATCCTATAGTGACATTGCACTTAGATTGATCAGCACACAAGGAGAAGACAGGAGTCTAACCTTTGTTTCTGTATGAGTTGCCCATGTTGTAAGCTGTGCCGTCTGGGTCAAAGTGTGGATGAGCAGTAGCACCATTCACAGCGATGAACTTGCTCCAGTCCACCTACAGATAATAATCCTACTTAGACATGATGGGTTATAGGCTGGTGGCTATAGACTGGTAATCGTTCATACCTTCTGTTTAGACTCCAAAGTATCTGGATCCACTCTGTGCATGTAGTTTGTCTCTGTGCTGGCGTAATAGTCACCCTTGTATTTAACAAAGTTGACACTGGCATTATCTGTTGGCTCTGGAATTGGAAAGAGGGGAATTAGTGTCACAAATATCTTTTATTTATTTTTTTAACTTTGAGGCAGAAATGGATTAGAACAAACTTTGACTTTTTTTCTTTTGTTGTTTAACACACATTTCTAAGGTAGTTCTTCTGTAAATCTGACAAAGCTGCTTGTTTTCTGACTTTTTAAAAAAATTATTATAATACATTAAGCACAATTCGTTTTGTCAGAGGTTTCAAGAACTGTGCTTTTCAATAAAAATTATTAACTGAGGAGGATTATTTTAGTTTCAACTTGATTTTATGCGTTATGGAGAATTTTAATTTAGATTAGGGTTTATATTTGATTAGAACTGTTTATTTTCAGACTTCTTTAACTGAAACTGGGTTTATACATTTCATTAAATTAACCATTATTCATTTTGTGATTCTAGAAGTTTTAAGAACTGCATGTTCCTGAATAAAAACAGTATGTTTGAGGGATAAAAATATGTGATATGATTTCAATTTAAAGGGGTCATATGATGCGATTTCAATTTTTCCTTTCTCTTTGGAGTGTTACAAGCTCTTGGTGCATAAAGAAGACCTGTAAAGTTGCAAACACTAAAGTCTCAAATCCAAAGAGATATTCTTTATAAAAGTTCAGAGTCAGCCACGCTGACCCCTTTAAACCTCATTTTATGTGTTTTTACCAGTTGAATTTAGATTAGAGTTTACGTTAGATTATATCATAAATAATAATTTACTATTTAAATACTTTTAAGTCAGCCTCTTTGGAAGTTTGCTGAGGCTCCCTGGATGAGAACCACTTTAAATAATGAAATTGATTTTAGTTGTGTAACCCACATATCCAAATGCAAACCTTATTGTTGCATGAAGTCACACTTCCACCATACTGACAGGGCATTGATCCTAAAGATGGTTGTGCAGTTTTATCCTTTTAAAACACCCATGTGTTACTGTATAATTGCCTCAGTTGTAGTGTCCAGAACTCTCTGCCAACTCCATCTCAACACTTTAGTAGTACTGTCACTTTATTTAATCTTAATTGAGAGCTTGTGGTGTCTGATTTAAATGTATTCTCGTGATTACAGACATAAAGCTGTTTGTCTAAGATGACTTTAGACACACTTAGACAATTCCACTGACCACGCCTGTTATGCTCTTGAGCAAGGCCCTCCAGAGACATGCCTCATTACTCTTTCAGAAAACAGAAAGAGCTTTTTGTAACATTTTTAAATCAGCTATTGCTGATGTTTGAATTTTCTAAACCTACTGAGATCCATTTTGCCATGGCAGACAGCACAGCAAGTAAACTTCCTTACTGTCATTCACACACATAATCACAATTTCGACATACTTATCATTTCAAATCTGGACAGGAAGCGCTGAAAGAAGTTCTTGCAGGGATCAGGTAGAGCCAAAGTGCCAAACTCTGACACTATGATGCGGTTCCTCTCGCTGTTCTGCTTATACGAATCGCTGTGCAAAAAACGGCTTCTGTACGTCACCTGACCATCCTCAATCTGAAAGCGATGCATCAAAGCCATGCCATCAAACCAGTGGTTATAGCTGAGGAAACATTAACATCGGCATGAGTCAGCCTGAATATTCATGTTAGAGTTTGAATGACATACAGTATTGTGAATAATAGTCTTCTGTGAAAGGTTGTCATGGTTGTGCCTACTTTGTCTACTACCTCTACCACTGTAAATACCAAATGATTAATTGTACCTTTCTATGTCATTAGTTTTGCAGCCAATTACTAATCGCAAGAAACCGAGATTATAAAATGTATTTAGTTACTATTCTTCACATTCTAGTGATTCTATTAAGATCACAAAATCACTATATTGACAGTTGAATGTTTGCACTCACTGCTGATTCCCAAACTCAAACTTTCCTGGACCATTCCGCAGCAGACTCCCATGGATCCAGGTTGGGATGGTGCCTTTGACTGTGGTGGGGATGGGCTCAGGTGTCTCCTCTACCGAACTTACCAAGGGGGAGATGTTTGGCAGCCCATGTACTTTTGTGAAGTATGTTTTCTGAGCAGCAGCTGTAAAAATCCAGACAGCAAATTGTGATTTGCGTGATGTACCAAATCTGATTGCTTGGCAAGTTGACAGATCAAAATCTGTTCATCAGAAGAATAATCAGAATAATGTTATAAAGATGCACTTGTAAATACAAATGTTCTGAAATTATGATAATGGTAATAAAATGTCGTTTTGAGTATTGTCACTTTGGTAATGTTTTACAATAAGGTTTCATTTGTTAACATCAGTTAACTACATTAGTTAACATGAACTAACGATGAACAAGATTTCTACAGCATGTATACGTAATTTTCAACATTTACTAATAAATTTTCAAATTAAAAGTCATTGTTAACATTAGTTAATGCTCTGTGAACTAATAAATAATGAACAAGTTCTAGGCACAACATGTACTTAGGGTTATGGTTAGAATTATGGTTTGTTTTAGGGTTTAGTTGCATGTAATTATGCATATGTTTACTGTTATTACTATAGTAAGTACGTGTATATAACATGTATATCAAGACAATGTATAATCAAGTTTGAACCGATATTTTTTACTAGCATGAATAAAGATTAATAAACACTTTAAAAATATATTTCTGATTGTCATTTCAGGTTAGCTAATCCATTTACTAATGTTATCAAATGGGACCTTATTCTAAAGTGTTGCTGAAACTTTTATATAAAGGTCCTAAACTGCAAGGTTAGCTAACCCTGAGTTATATTAAATTATATAGCTGTAGTAAATCACAGATTTGCAGACATGCTACTCTGCTCCATCATTTATGTCAGCTGAAAGAACAAAGTAAAGGATTAGAGTTAACAAATGACAGAGCTGAAATGGCAGAGAGTCAGCGATGTTACAAAGAGAAGCACTATCTTTAGAAAAACAATCCCTCTCCTCTCTACACGTTCACATGTACTGTGATACACTAATGCATAAATAATGAAGTAACTACATAGACATACAGGTATCTTTCAGAAAAGTCAAACTTGTGACATACAATTCAAAAGGAGTTAAATTCAGGTATAAGTAAGCTGCTAAATTTAAACCTATGATAACATTCAAAAGCCATTGGACTCAAAGTATATCTCACCCTCTCTCATATGAATACAGCAGCTGCTTTTAAACACAGACATGTGCTTTCATACACTGCATTGCTTCACACAAACACATTTGAAATCTGTGCCGTAACATCCAACAGAAAGTGAAACTTGCAGATGTGCATTAGTGCAGAAGAGCTCCCAGATTCTTACCAATCGTTTGAGGCTTTATGCAGGGCATCCTGTAGAGAGATGTGAGGCTGCAACCTTGATCAGAACAGAGGATGAAGAAGAGTTTATGACAAATTGTAAAGAGCAATAAAAACTGTGCACGCAGACAGGGATGGATTACTGACAGGGCCAATGGGGCCAGTGCCCAGGGGCCCTTGACTACCAAGAGCCCGAGGGGGCCCTGGGCTTTAATGTTGCGCGATCCAGTTTGGTACGAAAAACCCATCAACAATGAAAACGTATGTTTATTTATGCTTGAATATATGTGTCCCTTAGCCTATACAATGCCTCTTGAACACGGCTTTTGGTCTGTGAGGGCTCTCAGGCACTCCTGTTACTATTGGGCCCTGTAAATATGAAGGCCTCCAAATCTTTTATAGAACCAGGGCTGTAGCTGGGGTATCCGGGGCCCAATGCAGGTTGTTGCTGTGGGCCCCCTTGAAAACGCGTTCCGGAAGGAGGGACCCTTCAAGCCCGGGGCCCTTAGAAATGTCACCACCTTTTGCCCCGCTAGCGACGGCCCTGTGTAGAATCATTGTCTGTCCCATACGGTTTCAAATTATATTTATTTGAACCACTCTTTGAGCTTCTTTCTTTGTGTAAAGGGTATAGGAATAAGTACTATTTGTCAGAATCAGAAAGAGATTTATTGCCATTGCACACACAAGGAATTTGTTTTGGTGACAGAAAAAGCTTATAGTGCAGACTCTGAGACAACAACGGTACACAGATAGTAAAATTTAAAATAAAGATATGTGAATAAGGGGGGCATAGAGAGAGCAATTGTGTCTGTTTTAGCATAGTAAAGATTTTAAATTTTTGCTAAACTCACTTGGGGGCCACAGAACGCGTTTTTCCATTCCAATGCGCTACTTTTACATTGTTTTTCTATGTAAACAAGCGCTAGACAGACGTGTATACCCGTTGCGCTCGCCTCTTGCAGTCTTTTGCAGCATCTTGCGCATGACACGGCGTTCTAAAAACTTTAAAACTTGTCTCTAGACCTAAAATGCGTTTTACCCCCATTCCACTCCTCGTGTCTCGTGTTTTTCAAAGTAAAAACATTCTGTGTGAATGTGTCATCATGCATTTCCTGATTAATTTAGTTAATTGCAACATTTAGTGCGTTTT